TTGACCAAAACGTCCCTCAAGGTTATCTGTCTGAAATTTTCCTGAAGGAATAAAAGGTAATTTAAATTCTTTTAACAAATACTTTGAAAGTTCATTCAATGTTGCTGTTGTATGGAGAAGAGCAACTTGGGCTTCTTTTGACAGTTTTCCCAATTTGTGACTTACAATTTTTTGTTGTTGGGCAAAAATCGTTCCATGATATAAGCCACGTACAAAACTGTGATAAACATTCTAAGCTTTTATCTTCTGTTGTCCTTATAGGCTGCATAAATACATATCGAAACTGTAAGGCCTTTTTAGAGTGTTTAACTTTTACAATTTTCTACCACTTTAAAATTACATCAATAAAATGTTTAGTTCTTAAGACATCTTTTCCATACCGAGTTCTATTATTCTGCGATTCAATTTGCAGAGCAGCTAAAGTCTTTTCATCAAAAAGTTTAATAGCAGTACTTACATTCTGTTCCTCTATAGAAGACGGAAATAAAACTTTCCTTGATAAAGTTGGAGCCATTTTAATATTATCGTTTTTTTCTATTTTATACAATTTTTTTAAATGTAGAACACTGGAATTGTAAACAATATTTGACGTATGTTTGGTTTGAATCGTTCTGATTGAAGCAGTTGTTTCGTATAGATTTCAATAAATGAACTGGCTTTAGTGTAGAATTGGGTGCCCCTTCGATTGGCGACATTTTTAAAAAATTTTGGCGATGAAACCTCACTTCTGGTTACCACAATAGTTTTAAATTTGTTTTAGCTTCCCGATTTTATTTAAATGAAAACAGAGTGATGTGTACATGGACATATTTAAGGCGCAATGCCTAGTTTGTGCAATTCTAGGATGTTTTTTTTAAGTAAAAACAGATCGATGTGTACATGGACACAGATCTTATGCAATTCTTCGACTTTTATTTTGGTTTTGTGTAGCGGCCATCTTGAAATTGTGACTTCCTGGCGCCGATCTTGGCGTCAAGAAAGAATCGCCAATAAACGAGGGGCACCCAATTGTAAACTTTTACCAATGAACTGTATCAAATAATGTAAATATAGGAAGATTATGCATGGTAGGGTTTATAAATGAGGATTTTAATGCACCACCACAAAGCATTTTGAACATATTTCTGTTAATTCTATTATTGTCTTATATTAGAGTTATGATTCGATAGCCACAAGACTGTACATGGTCAATTACTTGTTTTGTAAATATTAATAATTGATGTGATGATAAGTTTTTTACGGGAAACATTGCTACAATATCTCTGTTTTTTGCTAATATAGCTTATCATAAATGTTTGCAGAGTTGTGGCCTCCATCTGTTTTTTATCCGATAATTCACCTAAAACACGACCACTTTTATACGAAACTTGTGGTTTTATATATATCACATCTAATAATAAATTGACAATTTTTTCAGAATCAGAATCATTTAAAATTTCACATTTTTTTTTTTTTTTTCAAATACATCCAGTGACTTGTTTGTAATCCAGAATCTGCTCGGCCAATTTTCAGAGATAACTTCCTTAAGTATGACGGATGAGGCAATATAAAATACTTACTGTTACGTATAATATTGTAGCTGTTTGGATTACAATAAAATATATAACAAGACCAGGCAAAGGAATTCTGCACTATACGAATGGCTGTTTCATTTGCAATTAATTGAATCTGTTTCATACAAAAATTTAAATTTCTCAGAATGTGGATTATTTTCTGTTTCTGCACATTTCAACAGTAGTTTGATATTTTATCTAAATTTAAATTGCAGTCATCATGAATATCAGAAGCAGAAAAACCATCTAAATGGCTAATCATTGTTTCAAGTTTAGATTACCATTTATCACATAGTTTTCCTTCTCCAAATATCCATTTGAACTTTTCAATGGGAATTTCATTTTCATTGAAAAAAAACTCTTACATTTAAATCGTTCCAATATTTTTAAAGATACAAGCACAAGCACTTTTGGAACAGTTTAAAAATTCTAATTTCGATAGCCAAAAGATCTTACCTTTGGTTATGAATATCCATGAAGAGGGAAGATCTATTTTTCTTGCAAAACCATTACTAATTAGCCGTTCCATCATCACGAACAGCTTTATCTTCTCGAACGACAAATTTTTTCTTCAAAATGCTTAATGCATACACTACTGTGTTGCCAGCTACAAAATCTTTGCGATTAATATTTTTATCCATTTCTGAGAGAGTACAGGATACGAAGGAAATTTGAAAGTCGACACATGTTCATTACTGCTATCGTAATTTGATCGGCATTTACGTACACTACACTTTCTTGGCATTCTAAAACACACTTTTTCTTATAAATTCGAATTCACAATATAATATTTTACTTTCCGGTAAAATACAAAATTTTTCAGAAGAAAAAACACATGTAAACAATTATCTCACTAGCACTAGTCCTACGGCGAAGCAATGCCAACTTACAAAATTGAAGGACTAAGATTATGACGTCAGATCATGTGATCATCAGATTGGAGCAGGCCTGTAGATATCTAGTTGGCCTTGCTTAACAGGCAGTAATCTGACGTCACTGTGATGCCACCTGTTCTGATTATCCGCGTTACAACTGTAGTTTCATTCAGCTGCGAGACGATTTTCTAGAGGTTACATATCCCAAATTAATTTTAATCATATATATATATCTGTTTTCTAATAATGTATATATTTAAAATAATTTATATATATGTAATTTTAGTTAGTTTTTATTTTAAATTCTATATTGTAAAGTATCGTTTACGTAATATAGCTTTTTGCGCTGTAGTAACGTGTCGTAGCACCTACAGAAGTACGAAAGGATGAGATATTTTATTTCATGGGACCAAAGGATCCATATGAGATTTTACTTTTGACGAAAGAATAGATACACAAATGTCAAAGACAAGATTCTATTAATGTGAAGAGCGGCAAAATCTGCAGCGAACATTTTCTATGCAGTGTTTATGAGGATGATATGAAGAATCGCTTGTTTGGATAGCCACAAAAAGAAACTGTTGAAATGAAATGATGTGCCAAAAGTAAATTATGATGACAATAATAAATGAAATTTTAATGATTTTGAAATAAAACTCACAAATAAAAATGTAGATATTCCTGAATGCCCTAAGTTTAAGAATAAACAAGAATGCATTGATAATTTGAAGAACAAAATAATATCCTTAGAAAATTGTATTAAAATATTGAAAAATAGAGAAAAGAAAAATTTTAGAATGTTTGTTCAGCGGCAAAGAAGGTGGACGACATCTAGACAGAAATTGGTATCAGAAATTAAAATCTCAAATAGCGAAATTTTGGGGGGGGGGAAGCCCAAATCGGAGAATTTGGAAAAATGTCTAAAGCCTATTTTTATATAGAGGCAGATTAATGTATTACTGAAAAAGAAGGAAAAAATGAGGTGGTCATAAGAGCTCTGTCATCTTAAAGCTACGATTTTTGGAAAGAAAAAAAAATTAAGAAAAAAATTGGAATATCTTTACCTAGTATTAGTAAATTAAAAAAATGGGACACTAAATTTTAGCGTAGTTCAAGAATTCAAAGTAATGTTCTTACTCTAAAGAAGGAAAGAGGCGAATATTTGTATTCTGTAGAAAAAATATGCGTTCTCAGTTTCGACGAAATGCATATAGATTGAAAACTCTGCTATGACTCTAAACTGGATCAAGTTCTCCGTTCTTTTCAAAATGTGCAGTATGTTTTAATGAGAGATCTCATTTCGCGCTGTGCCTCAAATTACTGAGAAACCACGTTTTAGATAAAGGATTTGTTTTTTGAAGATGGAACTGTTTTAAATTTTGATATTATTAAAGAGGTTTTAAATAGAGAAGAAATCAAATTATGTCACAAACTAAAAGCGAATTATTTAATGGCCAAGGGAAACGAGAGACAAAAAGTCGCTCCAGAGAAAACATTATTTTCAAAAAGTACCGCAAAAGGTATACTCCACCGCACAGGAAATCAAAAAGCATCTGACTTCTATGAGTTAATTCATAATATCTTCGGTATTATGAATAGTACCAAAATAGTACCAACAAGAATAACAAGTATTTAACAAACTAATTTTGTTAAGTACTTGTTAAAGTTATTCTTATTGTATCCTTTGTAACTAATTATTGATTAGATTCTGTGCTAGATTAGCATTCTAGATAAAATATAATAGTATAAAGCATCAGAGTAATTGGCATAAAAAGACCTGCTTCCTTTACTCATACTTTTGAAAAATTGAAAGTACTGTATTAGATACTCTGAGTAAAGAAATTTTGTCAAAATTAAGGTAACCATCTTACATACATTTATTTAATTGTAATATAGATATAAGTATAAATTACAAAATTATTTAAAAAATATCTATTATTATATTGAATCGGAAGAGAATTATAAACAATGTAAAATTTACAATTAGGCAAAAAATCAAACGTAGGTTAGCAGAAATGTTGCCATATATGTCGTATATGTTTAAAACTATGTCAATGTAAAAATTTTTTTTTTTTTGAGTAAATTTAAATAGCTGCTATTATAGTTATCTTATAAGCAGTATAAAAATTCTCTCAGTTAACATGCAGATGAAGAAATGATTAGAAATAAACGTGCATTAAATAAAAAACCTGCAAATAAAAATAAAAAAACCCCACGGAACTTTATGTTAAAAGAGTAGTACATTTTATGTATTATTTTTAAATTGAGTATGTATTATTAATTCTTTTAATGGTTCAGTCTAAAATGCATAAAGCAGTAACATTGTCTGTTCCAAATTATAGCTATCTTTCACACACAGCTCATTTTAAACGCTGGTTCAAAAACGCTAATTTCCAAGCTGTGAATTGCATCTGCGCGCTCAGTGTCATCATGACTACGTCATCACTTCTCACTGTCTGTTTCAGGGGGAAAAGCTCTATGAGCTAGCCCTTCTCTTCTAAGTCCTGGAACATGACAGATTTTTAGCGCATGCGCACATCCTGAAAATTGTTCCTGTGCGAGAAAGTCGGCCGATAAAATCGGTACGTGTAGATTTCCAAAGAATTTCGAAGATTCTTTGAGCGTATCGGGCAGAACGATGTAATTCTTAGTGTTATCGCCTAATTGGCCTAATTGAGTGAACGATGGATCTAACAAAGAATATTTGGGTTTTAACGTTAAACTTTATTATAAGTTAGTTTTAATCTGTGTTAAATGTGCTTTTTCATTAACAAGTAAATAAGTCTTGTACTTAATGCATTGCATTTTATCACTTGTTTTGTATTAAATCTGCATTAGATAAACAAGTAAATAATGGAATACTTTTGCGAATTACCTTCATAAGTAGCAAATAAAAATCGTCAACACATGTGATTCATAATACTTCTGATTCATATTGTGTGGGGAAAAAAAAAGGTAAGTCTTTTTCATTGATTTATGTAATAATGCGCAATAACACCCTTAACTAGCTACTTATATATTTATTTGCTTCTATTTACCATGTTTATATTAATACAGCGCCGTTACCGTTAATTAATATACCTTAAAAACTTTATCTGCAATTCTTATGTGGATTTATGAATTTCTTCTAATTTTTTTTTTTTTTTTGTCGGTTATTTGAGTAAACCAAAAATTTTATTCTCTTTGACAAGGAAATTGAGAGAAATATTTTCATTTGATATAAAATTTTCTAATATAAGTAACATTATCAAGGAATTTTTATAATTGTTATTAAGAGCAGAATACCTGATATGGAACTCAAACTAAATTGAAGCGTTCAGTGACGGATTTACAGTGAAGCATACAGTATATGCGTAGGTCATTCTGAAATTTTTAATATAGGTGCAGACGATAAGAAAAAATTAACGGTTAGATTTGAAAAAAGAAACTATTCGTAAAAATATATTTCGGCGTGCCCCTTGGAAATTGGCCAGCAAGACACAATTTTAAGATGGTCGCTACACAAAACCAAAATAACAAGTCAAAGAATTGCACAAACTTGGTGCCTGTGTATACATCAATCTATTTTCACTTAAAAAAAAAAAAAAAAAAAAATCAGAGAATTGCACAAACTCGTCATTGCACACTTGCTTGACTTTACCCATGTACACATTGATCTATTTTCACTTTAAAAAAATCAGGAGAATGATGACGTCATATAATGTTAAAACAAAGTTACTCATTGCTAAAATTTAACAAAAGTCGTAACTAATCGAAGCTCAATAAAGTGCATTTTTAATCACACAATGAAATAACATAAAAAAAGGAAAGGCGGTTAATCTTTGGATTATGGTAACTTGGGGATTTTTTGGCGAAAATTTGGCAGCCAACCCTGCTACAGCAACCTGCTAGTTTTGTTTTGGATGCCATTTTGTTTTCCCAAAGTAAAGGCATGTTTTTTTTACTCAACTTTTTTTCCAACAATCTGCTAGCCGAATTACGCTTATACTAGAACTTTTATGGAACAAAAATGCTTAATCATGACGAAGATTAGGTGCGAAATTGGGAGAAAGTGCAGAATCGCAAACTGCTTGCTGCATTTTTAAGAATTTCACATACACGGTATCATCCATGTACACGTCGACCTATTTTCACTTAAAAAAAATCCCAGAATTGCACAAAAATGGCATTGCGTACACTCTTGACTTTATCCATGTACACTACTAAAGTCCTAGCTAGTAACTTTTATCGCCTTATCAAAATGTCGCCGAACTACCTGTTACCATATTCCAAAGATTAGCTAGAAAGGCTCTAATCTTATATGCGCCCTAATATCTTCAAATGTGGTGATATGTGTTCTGCGCTGGTTTTTGGTGCGATTGCGTGTTCTATGGCAACCCTGTTGACGTTGAAAAATCTTTTGCTGGAGTCGTTTAATTGCTCGTTGATTCATGTCGTACGTGTTTTGAAATGGCCTACGTTGCCAATGATAGACGTGGTGGCAAGATTTTAGTTGCATATTTTAGATTGTGTGGAAAGTAAATTTAGTATTAAAAGGTACGATGTTGGAGTTGTTAACGAGTCTTTTGTTTGTGGGTGTGTTTATGAGGATTGAAGTATATTTTTGGAATTTCTGTGAGACTTTTAAAACGGAGTCTGAAATACGGAGCTGTTATGAGAACTCGGACGAAGAAGGGCATTTCTGATAATTCTTGTGTGGATTTGCATTCAAATGGTTGCTGGTAAAGTATGTGGTTGTCAGTGGAGTTTAAGATTTGGATTGTGGGTTTGGTGTAGTAAATTAACTTTGGAGGAAGTTGTTATCATTACTTTCGAAATTTTGAATCTTTGAAAGACATGTGATATAGCAAAATCGTGGTACTTTTGTTCAGAGACGTTGTGCGACTGGCGAATTTTATTCAGGAATGTATTATGGTAAGTGCATTTTATTTTGATGTTTTTATTTTGTAGAATGTTATGTTCATTGTTTTTTTACTATGAACTTTTGTTGCTGTTGTTGTTTTTTGAATTGTTTGTAATTTAGTCTATTTGGTTGATTTATGCGCAATGTAGATTGTGCAGTTTGTAGATTTTTTTTAGGTTTAAACAGGATGCCCTGTACATGGTATTCTTTGAAATTTATTGTTGTTATGTTAATTTGTTAAAGCGAGGTATGCGTAGTTCGTAGATTCGTTCGTTGCCTAGATTGTGCAATTCGTAGATGTTTTTTTAAGTTAAAATATATCGCTGTGTACATAGATTCTTGAGAAGTATTTGTGGTTAGAAACTTTACGTTTTTGCTATCTAAATTTTTTGTGGATTTTTAGCTTAAATTGTGTTTCGTTTTTGATGTGAAAACCAGTGGAGACATTTTATTAATTTGGGACATTGGTTTGAATTTTTGTTTTTTGTGTTTGAAAATTCTTATGTATTTTTTTTGTTGTTATATTTATTGCGTGTTATTTTACTGTGCATAATGTATTCTTAGTTATTATTATTTTTTGTGTTAATGAATTTGTATTGAGCTTATTTTAAATTAATGTATAATATTTAATATTGTTAAACTTTACGGCAAAGCTCCTTAAAGTTTAGCAGAATTGTGTTACAGTTAAAAGGGCGCGGGTGTATTTCCGTTTCTCACGCGTAGGCTTCTTTGGAGGTTAGAGGTCACTGTCCAGCTGCATTTTCCCCTTTTTTCGCGGGGGTTGAAAACACGTGTTTTTCTCGTTCAGAGGCGAATAGTTCTAAGGGGCGGCGATTTTTGACAGAGTTATAGGTTGGAAACATTCTTCTGTTGCGTGGGAAAGAAAGGGTCTGTCTTCTTGTAGAAAGTTCTGAATTTCTGAGAATTTCAGTGGCGATTTATTACCTTTCTTCTAGTTGGCGAAAGGGAGTCCAAGTTTCCTTAAGATTGGCTAAATTTTTAATTTTAGTGTTGTTTGAACCAATAGTAATTTTGAGGCGTTTCTTGGTGAGTGTAAACCGAGGTTTCTTAAGCCGTTGCACGGAAAAGGCAGGGAATCTTTTTGGACTTGAAAAAAAAAAGCGATTTTTAGAGAAGACTTTTAAGAGATTTTTTTGGAGCCTTAGGGGTTTGCTACTTTGACGGCGGCCCCTACGGGGCCGGCCGCGGTCAGTGAGGAAAAACGCGGCGGTTCTTCGGTGGTCGACCGCGGTATACAGTTAAGTTTTTATCTCCGAGATTTCTGGGTACGGAGGGTCCGAGACAGTGTGGGTGCTCGTGTTGACGGCGGCAATTCTTGCGGCCTATTATTTTCAATTTCGTCGCTGAGATTTCTTTTTCCCATTTGTGGAACAGTCTGAACTGCTCGTTCGTGCTGGAGTATATATTTTGCTTTAGAAAAGATGGAAATATGGAAAGTCGTCATCGCCTGAGGTCTGCTTTGGTCTTTTGTCTCCAGTTTCGACCTCTTTCTCTTATCTTCAGTGGAACTTCGAAAACGGGAAGTTGATTGAGTGAAAGTGCTGCTTAACGGAGGAATTTGAAAACTTTAAAGGAACTATGAAAAGGCTCCGGTTCCGGAAAACAACGATGAAGATTTGGCAGTTATTGTTTCGGGATTTGTAATGGATCGGGCAGCTCCCTGGTGGTACGCCGATTTCGTGAGTGACTTTTTAATTTTCATTGGTGTTTTATTTTGATACATAATCTTTTTAAATTTGGAAATGTTTAATACTAAAGCAAGAGTTGACATGTTAAGTAGATAAAAATTGAATATTTTTACCAAATTTCTAGCTGAGAAGGTAATTTTTTTATTTAATGTTTAATAGTCAGAAGTCAATTGAACTAATTGGAGGAAGTGAATCTTTGTTTTAATGTTTAAGTGCTATATTCAATATGATTTTATTCTAAATTAGTTTTTTAAATGAGTTTAATCTTCTTGAGTTCCTGCTTAAAATGATTAAGAACTGTGACGTGTTTCACTATGATTTTTGTATTAATGGAATAATGTTAAATATGAGATTGATTGATGAAAAAAAAAAAAACTATGAGTAACTTTAAAAGATTTTGTAGGGGTAGTCTGGCCAGCTATCTTAAGTTATAATGTGTGGGAATTTTCAATAAATGTGTTTTATTATCTTTAATATTGTATGTTTTTTTTTGTGTATTAATTGTGGTCTACTGTAGGTCACCCATGTGATCCTTACGGAAACATGGTTTTTAAAAACCGAACCTGGGTAATTATATTGCGGTAGTAGAAAAATCAGTTTTTTAGTGTTGGTGACTATACGATCTGTTTACTGAATTTATTTTGATTTGTTGAGTAGACTTCTTAATTGTGAGATTGTATCTTTCCCCGGTGTTTTGAAGAGTTCTGTGTGGTATTTGAAATGTTAAAGGTTTAAGGCTATCTCTAGATTTTGTATTGAAATTTATGTGTTTTCAGGTTGGAGATATAAATTAGTTTTAATTTAGTGAGAGATAGCGTGTTAAAGATTTTGTTGTGGAAGTGCATTTTCGAATTTTGTTTTTGTCAATTAATCGTGATTCTACCAAAACACCAGGGAGGATATCTTTCTTTGATGTCTTTTAGATTTTAAAAGTTTTGATTATGTAAATACAAAGTTTAGTAGTTTTTTTTTTTTTTTTTTTTTTTTTTTTTTTTTTTTTTTTGTCGCGGCACCAGTAGAGTCAGTTTTAAAGAGTTAAATGAAAAAAAAATTTTTTTTCTACGTAACCATAAGGAGCCCAAAAAAAAATTATCTGCATAGCCTTTCTATTAGAAAACTGTTTCAGCAATAAATTCCTTAACTCCAAACTTCCTATTGACAAAATAAGAGTAAAAAATGTCTTCCATAGCTATGTTCGACCGTATGCATTTCTGACATTCGACCATACGCATTTCCTTCTTACAAACAGGACACCTAATAATGGCTACTAAGTAAACCTTCATTTACACACCAGTGAAGATATGCTCTTTTCCCCTTTCTTTCCAAATTATATAGAAACTTC